CCCCTTTGTCTCCGGTCTTGTCTCCCTTCTTGTTGGTCATTGTGTCCGTCTTGTCTCCCTTCTGTTTCCTCTCCCTTCTTGTCTCCCTTGTTGTCCCCATTGTCATTTGTCTCCCTGTGTCTACATTTGTCTCCCAGCTCTGGACTGCTGTGTCCCTCTGCCTTGCAATCGTTTACATTTGTCTCGCAGCGCTGGGCTGCTGTGTCCGCCTCAATCCTTATTTTACATTTGTCTCCCAGCTCTAACTGCTGTGTCCGCGTCTGCCTTGCAATCCTTTGCGTGTGTCCTCGCAAGCCTTTGCATTTGTCTCCCAGCTCTGGACTGCTGTATCCGCCTCTGCCTTGCAATTCTTTATTTGTCACCAAGCTGGGCTGCATGCTTGCAATCTTTTACATTTGTCTCCCTGCGTCTATATTTGTCTCCCAGCTCTGGACGTCGCAAGCTCTGTTCCGATTTTGAAAAACACAACCTGTTTGGGGTCTACGGTGGTGTGATTTTTGTTCGATGTAATTTTGGCTCCCAGAGATCTAGACGAATTCTTTTGAAACGACAGCTATGTACGAAGGATCCTATATTAGCAATGGATCCAAGATAATGACTCAGACGGCCAAGGCCAGTCCAAGGGGCCATTGCTGGATGGAAATCTCTCGACCCTTTGCGCCAGCCATGTGGCTTTGAGGAGAAGCGACTTGTTTGGGGCCACCAGCCTGTGTCTCGCCTAAAACAAGCATGGGTGGAGCTTCTGAGGCATACTTACCGCGTCTTGATGTTGGCCACTTTTGTTGATGTTTGCCGTTTGAGGTTTAAGGACAACTTTCAGACCCTGCTGACACAGAAAAGCTGTCCGGTACTGATACTCAGCTGAAGCTTGACCTGTACTCCCACTCTCCGACTAGAGGCTTTGCACCCTGCCCAGTTTGGTCTCATGCTGAGGATGGATCCTTCTATTTCAGTGGGCCCCAGCATCGCCCGGAACACGGCCAAAGGAGGCATGACGATGCAGCAGCTGAGCCACATCCTTCGCTTGGCCTACTACGCCACGCCCTTCGGCGATCCGCACAAAGACCCCTTCAACTACACTGGCTACGACGCAGTGTTTGCTGAAAGGGTTGGCTTTGTGAGCTTGCTGCAAGGTGGAGCCCAGGGTGGAGGTTTCTGTTGCTGTAAAACATGTTAGCTTTTGCCTTGTCACCCCAACCACTTGTGCGACCCGACTCATTCGGGCCCAATGAAGGGGCCCCTTGACTTCGCCTTTGCCTTTGAGAGAAAGGCGCGTCGCTCGCGCCATTTGCGCACTTCGAGCCACTGTTCATCAGTGGTAGCGGAGCTCTGGAGCCGGCCAGAGCCCACTGAAGGCACTACGCCTACTTCGTCTTCACCATCCTCGCTTTGGAAGCCTTCAGCGAGCGGTGGCTTCACGCAGTGAAGCTTGTTTGCTTTGGATTTGAGAGGAGCCCAATTTTGCAGTGGCAGTTTTCCTTTGTTTTCCACTTCGCGGATCATTGATCCTAGCTCAACGAGTCCTACGGTGACTTGGCGGCCTACGCCCGTCAGCGGCTTGCTTGGCAGCCTATATCCGCTTACATCCAGCGGCGGACTACTCTAGCCCTATAAGTTTGAGTTCACCGGTTACCAGAACACCTACAACCCGGTGACCTTCCTGTACCAGTTCGACTGGGAAGATCCCTGACGAGATACCATGGTGGCGTTTGACCATCTTCACCGCTTCTGTCTAGGCGGAGTTGGAGCGACGTCCTCAAGTCCAGCGAGGCCAGCTCCACCAAGTTCACCGATGGCTGGATCACATCGAGCTGAACATGCACGACCTTCTGAACGTCATGACCCCGGTGTTCCTGACCCTCCTGGATTACCAGATCCTTGCAAGGGCGGCGGCTGCAATCAGTGCGGCGGCAGCAAGACCGCCAACTCCAACAGGATCGCAAGCTGGGAAAGAGGCCTCAGGAGGTCGCAAGTATGTCGGCTACAGGCTGGATCCGGCACCGTCCTGGAGCAGCGATCAACCCACTACAAGCACATCCGGAACCTCCAGTTGTGGCTAGTTGAAGCTGAGGCCAGACTTAAAACTGATCGGCAAGAGAATCATTGATAGCACCCCCACTGGTTCAAAGCTGAGCTCCCTCATTCTGCAAAGTCATAAGACCATTATTTTGCTATCATCGAGGACGCTCGTGAGTACTTAGATGGGCTGGCTTTTACTAACTAGTTAACATAATTATGAACTTTGTTAACGCAATCATAACATTGTTTTAAACTATCTCCACCATAGTCCTAACATGTTATAATTGTTTTTCATTATTACAAAAATGGTTAATTTTCCAGAAGTGTTACATAATTTTCATAATCATGTTTAAAGTTATGCAAAAATAGCAAAATTAATATGTTTTTTATAATTTTTCAATTCTTTATTTCAAATATGTAATTTTTATTTCCCAAGGCGTGAAATCAACAAGGTTGCCTTTTGATGCTGTGATTTTCTGAGATGTTTTTTTGTGAAATAGTCAGCTTGCCTTGTTGAAACCAGCCCCTGCTGAGAACAAGGCATCATCTCTGGCAGTATTTGTTTACATGCCATTGTTCTTGTTTTTGCAATCTTGGAATGATTATTTATTGATGAACAGGAATGTGATTTTGTAAGGGGCATGGCAGGCTGTTCCTTTTCAGCAATGGAGGAGGTGTTGGCTCAAGTTCTTTTTGTTGACCATGGAAGAGTGCTGTGTGCAGATCAGCAGAAAACTCGAGATCACTTTGAAGGGCAACAAGGTTCAAATACCAGATGAGCTGGTGGCCCAGGACCTTGAGTGTATATTTTGATTTTCATTTTCACTCTATATCCCCTTGTTGTCAACCAGCTTTTGCATTGGCCTGCATGCATTGGCCTGCCATGGCAGGACTTGAATGGTGTGGAGTACATCAAACTTAGACCCACTGCCCCTGCCATTGTCAAATTGGTTTGTGGAAAGTGCGAGAAGAATGGCAGCCTGAGCAATGGTGAGTGCTTGAAGGCCTTGAAAGAGAAGAGGAATGCACAATTTGCAGAAGCACATGCTGACAGCAAAAAAAGGAAAGCTGAAAGTGTTGTTGAGATCGATGTATGTGGAACACCAGTACAGCTTCTTTGCCCACCAAAGAGAGTGAATGCAGCAGATCTACAGGTGTGCCTGGACCCATACAGCTGCAGGCAGTGATTCTGTTCTTGGAGCCAGGCTGTCAGCTCTTGACTTCCAAAAGGAAGTATGACAAGAGTGGGAAATTCAAAAGGGATGCAAACAATGAGATAGAAGACTCAGATGTAGAAGAGTGAGATGTGCAAACAAGACACTTGCAACAATGGATGCTTGAGCAAAAAGGCCATTTGCTGCCAGCCAAGTGCTTTGTTCCTGTTGACTCTTCAGCCATGGTGGCTTTGTTTTGTTTTTGTTGTTCTTCAGCCATGGTGGCTTTGTGTTGTTTTTTATTATTCAGCCATGGTGGCTTTGTTTTGCTCTTGTTTACTCTTCAGCCATGGTGGCTTTGATGTGCCTTTGTTATTTTCCAGCCATGGTGGCTTTGCTTTGCTTTTCAGTTTTCATCCATGGTGGCTTAATTTCAATGCTGCATTGTATTCTCAGCCACACAAGGCTTCAAACCATGATTTTTGTAAAGTGTATGTTTATCATGTTTTGTGAAGCAGCTTCATGCATAGCAAGTTGCAGGAACCCAATACATAATTGGATAGCATTGGCAAATCCAATGGACACAAAGAAACTTTCACTTTAGAGTGCCTGACAGGCCTGAAAGAGCCATGGCTGTGCCTCTGGATGTCACAGAGGAGATCAAAGGGCTGCTAGACCCTGCCTGCACAGTTGGTGTGCGTGTGAAGTTGGAGAGGATCTTGCTGGCATTGGAGAAGGTGGGCCTAGCATACAAGGCAATGATTTCCCCAAAGGGAAATGATGTGCCACCCCTCGAACAGAGGGACTTCAATGTGCAATGCACACAATGTGCACTTGAAAGGACAGCAGGTGTTGCAAAGTGGCCTGAAGAAAGACTTGTTGCCTCCCAATTCTTTGGGGATAGAGCTTGCAGTTGAAAGTGGGGAGAAGGCAAGGCAGTTGAAAGCCAACCAGCAGATGATAGCCCAGAGCAGAGGCATGTTGGCCCCTTTGAGGGGTGGAGAGCGGTTCCTGGGCCTTGCTAGCTCTCACTTCAACCAATTTGCAGAGCCTTGACCATGGTTGTCTGAAGGCAGATGGGACACAGCTTCACATGACGCCAGAGATCAAGGCTTTGGTGGAATCTGGCTGGCAATGGTCAATCTTGAAAGCAGAGGCAGCTGTGTTGTTTCCAGACCTCCCAGCCGTTTGCTCCATGGGCATGAATGCTCACAACAGCAACACCATTTTGACCAATGAGCTGGAGGCAATGATGGAGCTTGCTGCCCTACACAGAAATGGTATGAAGATGACAGAGGCAGTGCAAGCTGTTTGCCAAAGCAGCCCTTCTTGCAAAGCATACATAGATGACTGTGCACAGTTTACGCGGCTTTACTCTGGAGGGGAAACCTTTCCCATGCTACTCTGGTTGGACAAGTTCTGTAGCTTGGTTTGTGGAAGCAATGGTTTGTGTATTTGTGAGGTTGCTTTTTGTGTGTTTTTGACACACTCTCTTTTGGCTGGCTTGGCCCAGGTAAAGCTTCTGGCCATTCACTTTTGGTTGGTGAGGAAAACACCAACTTGCTTGCCCACTGCAATTTCAGGTTGCCTGGATGCCAGTTCAACTTTCTTCGCATTGCCCTATTGGCCACTATTCTCAGTTCAAAGCGCCATCAAGATGGTATCTCTAAATTGGTGTTCAAGTCAGATTTTGACAAGCTGAAGGGCAAGAACACAACCTTGGCCGTTGAAGACCTGCTTTCCAATGGCTGGAAGGAATCCCAGAAGGTGGAAGACAAAGGTCTTGGTGAAATGAGCTTTGGCAAGTTCTGTGTGCGTGTTGTCCTGCATGCTTTGCAGAAAGAAAAGCACAGTAGGGATGGGTTGTGCTTTGAGTCATTTGAAGCTATAGTGGAGCAGCTTTCAAAGGAGCTTGAGGGTGGCTCTTATGTTGCAAGCTCAAGTGCTGCAGATGCCAAAGGTGCTGAGTCTTTGAGAGTGAAGGATTTGCTCAAAGCAAGTCCAGATGAAGTTGCCATGTTGCAGAACCACCACATCACAGTTGGCAAGAACTACACACACAGAGACTACAAGGACCAGGTGTTCACCATGGAGGGCATCAAGGATGGCTGTGGTGTCTTCAAGCATGTTCCATTGTTTGGAGAGGCTATTGAAGTTGTTGCTAGCACTGAAGAGCTGAAGGATTGGAAGAACACTAAGAAAGAAGCTTGCCAGCTTTGTCCCACAGAGGTTGTCAAAGCTCGACTTCCTGAGGCTTGCTCCTTTGTTTTGGATGAGTGGGCTAAGATGAACGCAAGCTTCTTGTTGGCAGAGGCTTCCAAATTGAACAACAAGGCAAGTTTTGACATGGTTGCCTTCACCAGCTTTCCCAATGGCTTGATGAGTGTGAAGAAGCTCAAATCCAAAGAGCTGCAGATCTACCCAGTTGGATCATTGGTGAAGATCAAGGAACAAGAGAAAGCAGATGAGCTCTTGGCCAAGGGTGTGGTCCTTGTGCGCTTCAAAGGCACAGCTTACCTGATCCAGACCTTCAAGGCCTTCAACCCCTGCAAAAGTGATGATCCAGGAGTTGTTTGCCCATACTTCTATGTCAAGACCTCTGAAGGTGAGGATGAGGTCAACATGCAGGTGAGCTGGAAAGCCCACAGTGACCTGCAGATTCCTGTCTTGGAAAACAGCAAGGCCATTGACAAGCACACTTGGCTTCTCAAGGGAAAGGATGTTTCCACTGCCCCTCCTGCAAAAAGACCCAAAAGGAGTCATTGATTGCAGGTATAAGTAGCAGTGTGCAGAATTGTGAGTGAGAGGAAGAAAAAGGGAAGTGCAGCTCCAATGTGTACAGTTCACTTTTTTATTGTCTTTGTTGTTCCTAGCCAGTGCTTGGTTCTTTTCTATTTAGCCATTTGTTGGCGTGTGCACATTGTCATTATTTTGTGCTGCTTTAAGCAATGTTTCTTTGCTGTTGTTGCGCATTCAGCCTGTTTTGGCTTAAGTTCTCATATTTTACATATTCAGCCACTTTCTGGCTTTTGTTTGCTTATTTCTGAATTTATTCAGCCACTTTGTGTGGCTTTTTTTGGTTCTTGTACTTTTGTTTTGATCTAATTCAGCCGTTTTGTGGCTTTGATTTGTTATTGTTTACTTTTTGGTTTATTTAGCCACTCTTTGGCTTTTGTTTGTGGCCTCATTTTCCGGAAGCAG